GGACATGTGCAGAACAAAATCAAAGAAAAACCACCGAAGTTCAAAGGCTGGTGCCGGAGCTTGCTGTCCATTGCCCTGTTAGCAGGTGCATGCCGACATTCAGCCACTCAAACTGCCTTCAGCCGCAAACTGGCCACTCAAAAACCCTGCCTTGTCCCAGGAGTTCGAGTTCCACGGTTTCCCGGACTTCTCCGACTTGTCCCACTTGTCCTTCCCTGGACAATGCGATCGGCATTTGTAAGATTGATAGCAGGCGAAAGCTGCTATCATGTGGTGTTCGGGTCGTGTATGTCAATTGGTCTTTGATTTTTGGGAGAGGACCGAGAGGACCCCATCCAAGACCAACGCATTTAGGGCCTTGGTCCCATTTCTTCCAGCCACTTTGGCCGCCCCACTTTCCTGACAGATCTTCAGCCAGGACTGGATTTTGTGTCACAGCCAGGAGCAGCAAAACAAAACGAAAATACGAAGAAGTGAATCCAACACGAATGACTAATCCAACCTCCATCATCCACATACTGCCTGCAAAAGAATCGAGTCATGGTCATGAACCTCTTTTCTTTGCGGAGAAACTATAAAAACAACGAAGAGAGACCCCCAAAAAATAACCCCAGTGATCCGTTTGGATCAAGATGTTTACTAAACCCTGCGTTTCTCCCTTCTCACAGTGCCAAGTCGTGGCCTGGCTTCCTTTCTGAGCCAGGTCCTGGCTGCATCTCGCAGTGCTTGCGGAAAAAGAATGGAAAAACTGCCATACGGAGTCTGCTCAGCTTCGGCCAAGAATCTGAGGTGATTCAATCTCTTCAGCTTGTTCAACCAGTTTCTTCAGCACCTGTCCACTGGCGCCACATCAAGCTTAGGGCAAGAAACTACTAGGAGCAAGAAGCTACTAGTCTAAGCCACCTCTTCACATGGAAGATTGAGAATGTCGTGGAACCCCTGGTTCAGCATCTCCGGATGTCACCAGCCCTTCAAAAAAAACGGTCGCTCCCCGGCCTGCATTGCATCTGTATGCTCAAGGGGCTGCAAAATGTCCAAGACCTGATCGGCACCCGCCGGTGTCGGCCGTGAGTCCGCCGCGCATCCGTGAGTCCGTTCGGCTTCACAGCGTTCAGGCTAAGTGGAATGCATTGCCCATGTGGAGTGGGTAGGCCAGTGTGACATTGCTGTTAACCCATCGGATTCTCCTGCCACAAGGGGAAGCTTCTTGTGAAAGTGAAAGGTGTCGGAAATCATACTACCGCGCGCCACCAGCTGCCTCATCAAGTTACCAATCTGCCGTGCGACTTTTTCATCCGCAGATCCACGCCCACTCTGATGGATTTTCCTGCGGAAGGAAGGCTTATCCAGAGTCGGGTGGCTTCCACCATTGTGTACATGTATCATACAATGTATATATATTATATATACACACCTATACTATGCATACACATGCCGCGTTACTTACCCGTTGTGTATTCTTCTTCTTCTTCTTCTTCTTCTTCTTCTTCTTCTTCCTCTTCCTCTTCCTCTTCCTCTTCCTCTTCTTCTTCTTCTTCTTCTTCTTCTTCTTGATTCTGCGTTCTTGATTCTTCGTTTCTTGCTTTGAGAAAGAACAGAATGGACAACCAACCACTGGTAGACCTAAGGGGGTTTTCATGGGGAGGGTTAGGCCCTGGCGTCTTTGACCCCACTTTCGGTGGAACACTGACACAGCCGCCAAAACGGTTGTCAAACATGAGGGTTGCCCATTGGAAAGAGGTGTTGTATTTAGCCACCAGACACTAAGAGGAAGCACGGCATGGGAAGGTGTGCAGTAACCTGTGATGGCCAGCCAGCCGCGCGCGTACGTATGCACACTGCACACACTGTCACTACGGAGGATTTTCTCACATAGTGTAGACGGTTGATGCCTGTCCACTAAATATATACGATTCATATTCAAAAATAGTTTCAGGTGGATTCATTCAATGTTAGGTTGTCCCGTATCGTTTTGCAGGGTCTTGCAGGTTCGCACATATAGCACTGGAGAAATCATGACAATTTACAGGGGTATCTTGTTTGAACGTCTCATATCACTTTCCACGGACAACTCCAAATCGCAGTCTTGGATAATGTCAATGACGCTCCTTTTGAAACCGACAGATCGACTCATACGGAGATGTATGTTTTTGATCTTTTTTGTACTTCTCAGGCAATTGGTCTAGCCAGTTGCCTACTATATATATATATATATTATAGGAATATGTTAAAAACATGTCAAAACTTTCTCGTACCGGGGCGTCACCTGCCTTCGGTTGAATCACCAGTCACATGGTTGAGCTTGCTGACCGGTCCGGACGCGGACATTGGAAGAGACAGGACGAGAGAACAAAGCGACTCTTTCACGGTGGATGGAAGAAAGCCATCGAAATCCTGCGTCATCGTATGCATATTTTATACATGTTTATAGTAATTTCAATATATATATATATATATGCTAATATACATTTATAGATAGATAGATAGATAGATAGATGCCCAAACATGCACTGGTTCTCTCTTGTCCCAGGAGCTGGATGTCTTCTTTTGATTATGCTGGCAATACAAACGACCAAATCTGCAGGTGAAAACCAGGTCAGTCTTGCAGGCGTCCCCGATCAGGTGAGTCGGCTTGTCCACCATGTCTGCATTCTCGTCCACATCCTGATGTGGCCAATGAGACCCAACGAGGAACAAATATGCAAAGAAATGTGGACATGGGTAAGGAAAAAGACATCCCCATTCTACTATGGTAATAGCTGGTAACAGTGATAAATAAGTGAAATCAGAATATGCAGAACATGATATTTTGACATCCAAACAAAAGAAAAGAACAGGTGGATCTCAAAATGCGACTCCTCTCCAATCAGTCGATTCAGTACACGTTGCAAACCAATTCCCCCTTTTTCTACACAACAGAACATGCCTTGAGGAGCTGCAAGGCAATGGGCTCGGAGAGGCGTGCCAAACCTGTCTGCTCATGTGGACTCTTAATTAATAACCCCGCACCATTTGGATTGAAAAGCTCTTCAAATCTCTTCAAGCTTGAAAGATCAAGAGTCCACAAAATATGGAAATTACCTGCGCACAGAGTGAAATCCTGACAAACGACGACTGCATCGAAAACAGAGTGGTTTGAGACCAACAACCTTAAGTACTCCCTTTCCGTGCTGGCAGGAGACCAGAACCAACCTTCGAAAGGTCAATGTCGCTGCAAAGTTTCCCACTTTTATTCAGCTTCAGGACTCGCCCCTTGACCGTCGCAGACAAATTCGCGGTCTCGTCCTGAGTGTTTCAGACAAGTCACCTGAGAGTCACCTGCTTGGTGGTTTTTTTTCGAGCCAAGCAGGTCTCTTTTCGTCACAAAATCCGTTTTACCGAGTAAAGAAACCGTCTCAAATCTCAACATGAAAGAGCCCTCTCCATTTGGCTGTGGGTCAAGTCAAAACCAGGGATATCGCTTGTGCTCCGAGACGTTACGCTAAATGGACGGGTCAGGCTCCAGTTTTTGACCCATTCCCGGCACCGCATGGGGAACTGAGCCATCGACTCCTTCTGCTTCTGTCTCTTTTGCAGGCCACTCGGCCCAATCGGCCTGACAGTACTCCCAGGTGTGGCCTATGAGGCTCTGCTGAACATGCCCAACAAATCACACAAACCAGTGGTCCTGCTCTTCCTGCTGTTCTTCCTGTGGCTCGTTCAGTGGCTCCGGTACTTCTTCCTCGACTTCCTCCTCCTTTGCCTCTTCATTCAGCTTCTGAATTGCCTGGGCAGGAACACGCAAGCTAATAAGCGCTCTATCAATTAAGTATATCAATAATATTTTAGTCATTATAAATTCATATTATACAGTAAATGCAGTGTGTTGTAGTGTCCCAAAAGAGTGTGCACGTTCTGGATCGCGAAGAACATGCGGCAGAATCTCCCTGAGGATCCGTGTTTCGACTCACTCGGCGAGCGTCGAAGAACGGGCGAAGAAAGACACTCTATCAGGAACAGTGAAGTTGTATATGTGCAAATGTGCCTTCATAAGCAGCATAGGACTCTCCTGTATGTCTCGGCGCGGCGTTGTTGAGTGTGTCTTGGCTTTCGTGTCTCTCTCTCTCTATCTTTTCTCTTCTCTTCCATCGAGTCGGTCCCATGTTCAAAGAGCCGCTGCGGCGCGTCCGTCGCTCGCCGTGGCACGGCCGTAAAACGGCGCCGTTGCGCCTCGAGGACCTTGGCCGTGGGATCTTCGTAGTTGCCGGCGTCCTCGGCCACGGATTGCAGGAGCTCCAAGGCTTTCTCCACGTCCATCTCGGTGAGCTTCCGGGCCACGGCACCCAGGCGAATCTCCTTCTGAAAGAAACCGGTGCCATTGAGCTCTCGGATCTTATCCGTAATGCGCTTGTTGACCTTGACCACCGCAGGCGCCATGGATGAAGAATGAGAAGAAGAAGAAGGTTCTTTGATCACTCTGCTGTTCTGATCACTTCGCCAGCAGCTTGTGGTTGGTTGAAGGGACTAAATGGCCACTCACTGTCTGCTCACTCTTAAGATTCTGCATATGCCATATGCAATCCTTCAGTGTATCGTGATCTTTAAAGCAAAATCGCGGCGGCTCAGAGGATATCCACGACCTAGAAGTGCATCAGCCAAGTGAACAAGGGAATTCAGAGGGAGAATGATCTTCGGACGTCTTTCCATCTTCTTCCCCGTCCGTCTGCACGACCGTTCTGAATTCTATGCCCGGGCCAGCGGATGCTGCTCACGGTGGGATGCGGTCTACGACGGCCTTTTTGGCGCGGTGGAGACCTTCTTGTTTTTTTAGAAATAGAAAGAGTTTCCAAGAGACTACTAAAAAGCTACTCGGCGGAGGCCATCGCTATTGGGTTGGAGGCCATTGCTACTAGGAGCTACAAGAAAACTAGAAAGCTTTCTTGTTACTAAGAAGCTTCAGCCATGTCTTTTCAGTGACTTTTTATTGTCGAAACAAGTGTTGATTTGCGTAACACCATATGGACATGCACACTCGGGAAGAAGAAGGACTCCGACCAGGAATGATGGCTTGCTCAGCTGTAGCTGGCGACAAGCGCTCGTTGCTGCTATGGTACAAAACAACCCCCTGAATGACAGTGAAGGTCACTCAATGGAAGGTATTAAAGGGTCTCAGGTGGATCCTCCTCATCCAATTCTGCTTCAGTTTCCTGCATGGACCGATGTTGCTTTCTCGACGCAGAATCATACAATCCAACCGCCAGACTCAGACTCCTCACATGTGTATAATTGTTTAAATACACATCCACATGCGCACACATACCTGTAGTGTTTCCAATGCATGCATGCAATCATCAAGATCAGTTCCTGTTACAGAATCGATATGTTATGTTTACACACACTAATATACACATTCCCCACCACAGAAAACGTGCTAATGTCGCAAGCAATTTCAGCCTGTCCTCCCTCAGGCGTGCCGACATTTGGCTGAGGAAGCGAGCCTCGTTAACGCGACGAGGAACCGTTCGGCCTGGCTATCGCCTTTGACTCGACGACTCCGGTTGGAGAGCTCAATGTGCGTGAAGGAGGCACAAACACGTGGTGGAAATGGAACATGGATGCACAAACCCTGGCGATGGAGGATGGAAATGTTCCTCACAACTGGGCGGTGTTCTACTATCCCTTGATCTTCCATGCACATAAGGATGTACATAAGGAATGCAGGGAACGCTGCATGGCGTCCGATGTGTGACACAGCGCAGCCCGAGGATGGCTTGATCACGCGCCTTGATCACGTCCTTGCGACCACCGGGGCCTCTCCTGGTCGCAACTCGGAAGGCGGAACCCAAAACAGCTTGACAAACACAAGACTAAACAGAACTGCTTTGGGGCCCTGACTTTGGAGCGGCCCTTGCCTTGCCAAACATCCAAAGGGCAAAAGCGGGAAAAGTATAATTACAAAAGTGCAAAGGGAGACACATGGCACCCTCCCTAGGGCTATTGAGGGATTAGATCAGTGATGAGGCTTGTCTCGGAGCGGTGGACTCCTCAGTGATTTTGCAAAAGGTTTCTGCAGCAAAAGTTTTCACGTGCCCTCTACGCGCGCGTTCGGAACCAGGTGCGATGGACGTTTTTAGGTCATCCGAAAATTGCGTTTCGGATGTGCAATTTAAAGCACATCTACAGTTTACTGCGTTTCACACACGAAAGCTGCGATTTTGTCCCGTAAGAAGTGGGTTGTAAGATAAACATGGGCTCACATTGCCCCAAAAGCCCAGGGGATCTTAACGAAAGGTACTAGCCAAAAGGCCATCGGAAAGGTTTCTTCTCAAGTGGTCACGCGTCGGGGGGAGACCTACTTCAGTTAAACACTGCACAGGAAGGGGTGGCCTACTTTAGTTAAACACTGCCTAAACTCTTTCCTCCTTAAGGCACATATTCCCTAAATAAATGAAGGTCCAACCTTTCCTCCTTTAGACTTAAGACCCAAAGGAGAAACGTACACACACTTTCTTCATTTAACGTAGCAAGGAACGTCAACCACACTTACACATGCACTGTCTTCATTTGACGTAGACGGGCACGATGTGCTTCATTTAACGTAGAAAGGAGCATCAACCACGCTTTCCTCACGCAGCGTAGACAAGAGGGTCAACAGTCTTCCTGTTACGACACACGGATCATCAGTCTATCCGGACGTGACTACAGTACCAGGCCATCCCACCCCCCAACTAAACGTGACAGGCGTGGGTGGTTGTAGCTGGCGTGAGCAAAAGCAAGTAAGAAAACTACAATGCCCCATTCGTCGTAGCATCACTGATCTGGCCCTACTGATTTGAAACCTAACTTTAGCTCAGTGAAAATGTGAAAAGGTGTGCCATTGCTTCAACGCAAAAAGGCCTGATTCTCCAGGTCCTCCAGAACACTCTCCCCAAGATCCGCCTGAACAGCAAAATAGACACGTTCAACAAAAAGCAGAACAAACGCTCCCCAAGCTCCCACGTTGCGACAGTTGCATGCTGCTGAATGGACGTTGACAGTGCCAATATATGCCAACGACTGTGCCAATGACCCTCAACTCCCTGGCTGTTTTCCCCGCTGGGCACTCCTCCTCATCATCCAGCTTGATGTCACCGGGGAGTGCTTGGTGGTTGTTGAGACCTTGTAAACCCAAGGCATTGGCCACTTTTCGTAAGGAGAAACGCTCTCTCTGGGACTCTGACTCAGCCATAAGCACTGCTTCGGACCCTCTGGTCTTTGCAGGAACCGTCGCAGTGCACTTGCATGGCGCTTATCAAGTCGCGAATCCTCGGGCGATCGGCCGATAGTGCTGGGTTTTCTGGTCGGAGCAGCTGGACGTCCCAGCGAGCTCCAAAAAATGCCACGATGGTTTGCTGGTTTTCTCCAGAGTGTTTCACTTATGTTGTCGAAAGAACGACGTGTGGCTTCCCATCCGTGAACACGCTCAAACGACAGGGAGAAATCTGGTCTAGCATGGTTTAGCAAGCCGGGTAGCCAAATTCACACTTGTCAAAACAGGATCTGCTTGCAAAGGAGTGTCAGGTTCATCTAGCACCACGAAAGGAGCTAAAGCTTCTTGCATGCCACTGATGAACCCCGGGAGCACGAACAACATGCTCAAGGCACAAATATCCCTGCAGGATTTGAGGTGGCTTCGGTGCGCACAGACTCATTAAGAACGTACCACAACATCGAAAAGAGAGATGTGTGTGTGTGTGTCCCACCCTGGACAAAGGGTTTTTTCCACCACCACCACTCCACAAGCAGGGGCGTGCAGCATCTGTGGTCCACTGCACGCAACGAAGCTACGACCACAGATGGGAAGGGATCAAGGACGCTTGATCCTGTACCTGCAGAATAACACATTGACACCAATGGTCCACCCTGCTGCTGTTCGTTGGTTTCATGGTTTTTTCCTCATGATACCCTCCCAAAAAACAGGTTTCCCACCGCCACTTTTGCAGCTGCTTTGCGCCGCTTCGTCACCGCAGTCAAGGGAAACAACTTTTGTTCAAACACCTTCAAGTTTCTCGGACTTTTCGCCATGCTGTTCCACCGCCATTCTTCCCAACGTGGTAACTGAGTTCACTGAATACAAGTGTCAGAGTGTGTTGTTTTTCTCCGAATACAAAAAAAACGTTCCAACAGCCTTCTTTCTCACCCAAACAAAAGAGCGTGTGTGGACACATACGCTCGTCCACTCGCCGTCTTTCCAATCGTTCCGAGTCTGTCTTTCGCATCCAACCTTGCACCGTCCGATAAGCTGTTCAAAGGCGTGCCATACCCAGAGCTCGCTCCGCCACGCCGTGCTGAGGTCAGCAAGTCAAAGGAGCCATCAGGCAAACGTCGAAGCTTGGCTTCGCCACCCTCACCCCACTCCTGCGATCCCAACAAAATCAAACATGCACATCCGATAAATGATAAATGCACATCCGATAAAGCACTGGAACACTATGGAACATGATGAACATGCTTCAAGAGGAAATGACGAAAGGACAATGAGATGTTTCCATCTCTAAAACTCAACCCCGCTTTGCCTTCATTTTTTCCAAAGCTTTTTGCTGGGGAGAAAAAAAACACAAAAACAAACAGCTCTTGATGGTCTGCCACGGTGTGTGAATCTTGGGGGTTTTCAGGGCTCTGGGCTCTGGGCCTTTCCATCTCGGTCGTCCTCCAGAGTGTCATCCAAGGGCTCCCGCGTGAGCTCCCGGTACACTTCATCGATGCGTCGCGTGAGCCAGGCTTCCGCAGCTTCACGGGAGAGTCTCGCGTTGACGGGTCCGGTCCTGCGGTGGCACATCGGTGAAAGGCCATTGGTGAAAGCCATTGGGGGCATCGGAGTTGACCACTGAAGAGAGCTTACTTGGTGGGCGCGGAAAAAAAGAAGCCCAACACGACCAAGCACATGTTTCAGAGCCCATACACCAGGAATCATAATCTTCATCTGACAGGTTTTCGGAGTGTTTGAGCCATTTGCAATGTGCTGATTTTCTGCGCAAGAGTTTACAACCAAAAGGAGGTGTAAGCGAGGATGCACGGAACATGATGTACGACTTGCGCGCTTTGTCAACTGGATCTGGATGAATGGTATCATTGTGATGTGTGTGTGTGTGTGTGTCTGCTGCTACGGCTCCTGCTCCTGCTCCTGCTCCTGCTCCTGCTGCTGCTGCTGCTGCTCCTGCTCCTGATCCTGCTCCTGCTCCTGCTCCTGCTGCTGCTCCTGCTGCTGCTCCTCCTGCTGCTGCTGCTCCTGCTGCTGCTCCTCCTGCTGCTGCTGCTCCTCCTGCTGCTGCTGCTCCTGCTGCCGCTCCTCCTGCTGCTGCTGCTGCTCCTCCTGCTGCTGCTGCTGCCGTTGTTGTTCTTGTTGTTATTGTTCGATGATATGAGTCTGGTTCCAAGAGTGGGGGATGACCCAAGTGAAGGAGTTGAGCAGATCAGCGGCCTCACAACTACTTCTGGACGAGCAACTGTTACGGAATGTTATAGTCTGAATGAATTGCTCAACCTTGATCATGATTTGCTGGACAGCAACATCTTCTTTCCCAAATCTGCTGATCTTCCACATCAGAATAGAATGTCTATGCGGTGAGTAGTGCCTGAATAAGTTAGATTTGGCGACAGGATGGATGATTCTGCAAATTGCAGTCCTTGCTGCACCCTTTGTTGTGCACCTCCGCTTCAGCAGCGACCCAGAAGTATTTCCTTCCTGGCAGCCAAATGGAGAATGAGGTTGACTGGGAAGGCTGGACAAGCTTATTCCCACCATAATATTTTTATTCCCACCATAATATATAACTATATAACTATATACATATATCTCATGGATGTGTATTTAAAATATGGCCTCCCACAGACCTCCCGGAAGAAGGACAGACCAAAACCCGGTGTCCCACAGATGGTCCCTTCACCACCCCCCCGGAACGCATTGCGCAACGCGACGGCTTCGTTTCTTGATCTCCGCCATGGCTCCGCGCCGACTTTCTCAATCTCCGCTGGAAGCATGGCCAAAAGACCTGTTGCACTGCGGGAATCCATCAGTCCAAATTGCGGTAGAAGGAGATCACCCTGGCCCCACCTGCGCAGAAGATCGAGCGGACGAAACTGGACGAACGGCATGTTCTTCTTTTTCGAAGGAGAAGCCGAGCCGCCTAGGCCTAGCCCGCCTGATCCAAATGTTGTCTTTGCACGCCCGTTCTTCTTCGGTCTATCGATGTAACATGATGTAGGTATCGTGCTCTTTGAAGGAATTCTACTGAATTTGTTGCTTCCAAGCCACATAAGAGCTTGCTGTAGCCATGCAAGGTAACCTTCTTCGGAAACTTCCTTCAATTCTGCTTCCTCCTCTTGGACCCAATGTTGTAGAATGTATGCATCCTTAAGAGATCGGTCTGGGTGCACTCGCACTTCACGGATCAGCAACATGGTACCTGCACGGCTGCACGCTGAAACCTACAGAATGCTGCAGAAAGCTCAAGGCAGATCAAGGCAGCGCAACGAAGCAACAAATGGATGAATCTTATGTCACTCATGTCACACTTGCTTGCCTTCTGATCCTGCTCGATTCTGTCTATCTAACTAGCAGTCCTATGAAGTAGTCCCTTGAAGATCTTTCAAGCACATGCTGCGCCTTGGCTTGTGCCTTCCTCAGCTCGCTCATAGCGGAACTGAGCGGTCACCCGCGCAGCGGTCGCCATGGGCTTGCCCCGTCGAATGTAGCTTCGGAGGCTCCGATCGCATCGTCGCGCTAGAACGAAGCGCAAGGCATCCAAAACAGCGGATTTGCCACTGGAATTGCACCCAACAAAGCAAAACAGGGAGCGCCCCTGGAACTGAAATTGCCGCCTCTTGAAGGACTTGAAGTCCTGGACTTCCAACGACATCAAGCGTGCTCGAGCTTTCCCGCGCCACGTTGGCCCATCGGCCACACGGACGTCGGTCTCCAAGCTGGGGTCCACTAAGCATAGCAACCTGTGGGGGTATAACGAGGTCGGATTTCTTCACAGGTCTCGGTCTCGATAAAGACTGCCTTTTTTTTGAGTCTAGCTGGATCTATATATGTATATAGACCCATATTCATATACACTTTTATATACTGTGTATATTTATATGACACATTATGACACTGTGTGCGTGCGTGTGCAGGGTCGCCGGCAGCAAGCTTGTTGCTAAGATGCACATGTGCAAATATTAGGGCTTTTCTGTCAAACCCCTGCAGCTGAACGCCCCAAACAACTCGTCCACTTGGAAATGTTTGTCTAAGACGCTTTGGTCGTCTAGTTTGACAACCTTTGGGAAGCTCAGACAACCTTGGTGGGTGCAGTGCAGTCAAAGAAATAAGAGCTGGTCTGAAAAGCTGTCGATGGAAGAGATTTGGACAAACAAGCTTGCCAAGATGCTCGCTCATCTTGCCAGTGCCCTTTCCAAACTTCATAGGGGCAGACAAGGAGACTGCCTGAGCCGGCTCTGGCTGGACTGGCTCGCTATGCTGCACAGGAGGCTGCGATGCAGGCTGCGCAGACTGCGCGGCAGGCTGCGCAGACAGCGCGGCAGGAGGTGCAGCAGGTGTTACTGCAGGCAGCGCGGCCGGCAGCACGGCCGGCGGCGTGGCCGGCGGCGAGGCAGTCTGCGCAGGAGATTTTGCCGGAGGAGCAGCCTTCGCTTGGGCAGGCCGCACAGGAGCGGATTGCTTTCGTGCTTCTCCTGCAAATGAGAAACCGTGTGAAAGCAACATGCCTCTGACACATCTCCTGTTCAAGCTGGCAATGATGTTTTGTTCAAGAAATTGAAAAAATGTGCTCCTTCAGTGTATCTTTTATTCTTCGTGGAACTACTGGGTACTTTTGGCTCTGCAGCTTCCGCAGGTGGCTCTGCAGCTTTCACTGAAGGCTCTGCGTTCTCTGTTCTTTTCTCTGTCTGCTGCTGTGATTCAGCAGGCATGGAAGCTTTTGGAGGAGATCCTGCGGGTCGAAGAGCTGCCTGTACTAAGCTTTGATAGCTCAGATTTGGAGGCAAGTAGCCTGATTCAGGTGTTCCAGAAACCGGAAACTTGAATGGCGAAAAGGGCCCGGAATCATCTTCCAAATCATCTTCCACAAGGAAGACGGGCTGCGGAGCGGGAGGAGTCACTGGTCCCACTGGTGCAGTGACTCTGCGTTTTTTCAGCAGCATCTCTCGGAACAGGAGCAAGCTGCCTATTATTCTATCCTGAGCAACGTCTGTGTTCGTTCTTTCTTGGAATCTTAGTCAAGTGCCAATGGCAGTCCTGTTTCATTTGCAACATCATGCCCTGCTCAACTGTCTGTGGTAAAAGGATTTGTTTGCAATCGAGTTGAAGCTGTCCCTACCCCTACTGTGTCTCCAATTCAGAGCCACGAAGCTAGGGCAATATCAATATCTTCACGCCTCAAATTGCAGTATTTCTTGGTGCCGTTTTGCATTAAGTGGATCACGCGACATCAAAAACATTCAAAAACCAACGTCATTTTCCAAGGGCGTTTGGGCACCACTGTGGGCCAACAGATGCATTAACAAAGGCAACTAGAGTTGAGATCACTGCAGTCTTTGCAGTGCTAGTTGCTCCCTAGGCTTCCTAGGCTTCACAACTGCCTCATGGATATCCACTGGATCCTAGGTGCACAAGTTGACTCCATCAGACACATCGGCCCGAAACAAGCGGATCCCCATTCTCGAGCTTTCGAAGCCACGAAAATGATCACAGAATGTTTTCTGGGGTGTTCTGCCGCTCTTTGCCTCAGAAAGGTGTTGCGTCCAACCGGTGTCAATCGTGCACTCGTGTCCAATCCCAGACTAACAAGTCCAGACTCGACCCACATCCAGATCAATATCCTCAGTAGCCGCAGCGTAGGCGGCACCTGAAACTGCCAGCGAAAATCGCAGGGTTACCAGGCATGAATCATGATTGACAGTATACCTTGCAATCCTCTGAATGCTCATGAGTGCGATGTCAACACGCCAGCGCCGGCCTGCTGCCTCCTGCTGAGCTTCCGCAGACATTCCAAGACTTGCTGCCTCACCAAACTGCTTGGGTTGGCATTAACGGGTGCAAAACAACTCAAGACTGGTTGGGTCTGGCGGTCTCGCTGTTTTGAGACAAACCATAGACAAACTGATTTGTCCATCCGAGCAGTTCTGAGTCGATGGCTGTTGCCAGGGCAAAAGACCGAGCAATCTTGCCCCGCTCTTCACCACTCGTCCACGTGGCAGCGGCCGCGGCGGCTTCCGCCGCGATCGCCGTCTTCTCTTCCACGGTCATGCTGTAGCGATCGGCCACTTGCAGAGCAGCCTTGCAAGCCTCGTCGAGCTGACCCTTTTGTGTCAGGGGCTCCTTGGCCCTGGCCCCAGTTGCAGCTGCTTCCGCCGCCGCAAACAGCGCTTGCAGCCGGGGCGGCATCTTGGCCTTGGCCGCCGCGGCTGCGGCGGCCACTGCGGCATCACGAGCTTGCAGAACCGCATCTCCGCCAACCTCGAGCAATTGTCAAAGGGATCCATTTCCCAGCGGCTCTCGGCCAAACGTTCCACGGCGTGTACGTGCGGAGGCATCTTCAATGGATCTCCCCCACCCAGCATGAATCCCAAACAGTTTTTAATATGTTGCAATGCTTTTGCACATGGACATCTAAAGAGTCAGTGCGAAAAATGATGCTTCCAAGTCAGGCGGGAAAGGGGATCTTCTTTTCCCGTTCCGAGGATTGGAAACCAAGCAGCTCGCTTCATGGCCTGAGCAGCCTCTTCTGCTGCTGTTGTTGCCTGTTCCCGTGCGGCCCGGACCTTCTCAGCAAAGGCCTGGGCCTCCTCCTGGCAGGCTCAGTCCTTTTCGGTGAAAGTGCCTTCCCCTCGCTTCTCACTCATGAAAGTGCCTTCCCATGTCGCTTCTCACCTCCTCGCTGCTCTCCGCGCCAAAACCACGACCGATCCCAGACAAAAAAAAAAAACAGCGAGCACCTCCTCACGAACTAAGCGTGCTCGTCGATCTTCCGACTCCATTGACTGCCGGTCATGTTCCAGCAGAAACCTGGGAGCGGAAGCCGTCTCATTCAGACAAGCGAAGCAAGACAGAACACTCTGAGAAAAAACCGGGGAACTCCGGTCACCTGTCGGTGTCCGAGCCCTTTTTACGTGCGTGGACTGTGAGTAGGAAATAGCAGGAAGAGAATAGAAAACCGACAGAGAGGATGATAACTAGTAACAAGTTCTTTACTACTAGTAGAAAGAAGCTACTAGTAGCAAGGTGCCTTACTAGTAGTAACAAGAAGCTACTAGTAGCTCTTGGCATTACTACTAGTAGCTCCTGGCATTACTACTATAAGAAGCTAATTGCTACTAGTAGTAATGCACTTGTTACTACCCCAGCTCCAAAGAGTTGGAGATCTTTGACGGCCGTTGATGTTCATACAGAATACAGCCACCCAAGTCCACCCAAACTCCCAAGATCCCGAGTTCTGAATTCGCGCACCAAGCCGGCCGCGGCCAAGCTGCTACAGACCCAGTCAAACCCGGTCGAAGAAGCATCACGCCGAGGAAACAGACCGGGACAATCCCCCAACAGAGCTTTTGAAAGGAGACTTGGACAAGGCTCACACAGAGTTTGCGTTGGCCGCAGACACTCCAGCCTTGTTTCCAAGAGCGTTGGCGAAAGAGAGAAAGAAAGAAAGCAAACAAGCACGCACGCAAGGAAAGCAAAAAAATGAGAACGCAAGCAACCAAAGCAAGAAAAACAGACAGAGATGTATATATAATATATGGGAGTTGATCTAAATTCCTTTATCCGGGATCCGTCATTTTCGCCAAAAAAAATACATTCGCCAAACTTTCGCCTTCCTGCGTTTTATCTTTCGCCGAAGTACGTTGTATTTATGTGTGCCATGTATGTTGTGTTTTGTTCACGTCAATGGCTTCTTCTTTACTGGCAAACACAAAATAGAAATTTCACTGTTTGTCAGCATGTGTCTTCTACTTAACTGTTGACACCCTGTACGTCTCTTTTGTTTCTCCTGGGTGTCAGCAAGAGTCAAAAATGCAAGAATCACTGAAGTAGCCGGTCACCGAAACTTATTCATAATGGGCTGGGGGTCAGATGTGGCAGGGTGAACTTTCGCCAATCTTGAGCTGAACTTTCGCCAAACTTTCGCCTTTTGCGGGGTAGAGTTTTGTGGCAAAGCCACCCCCCAAAGCAGGAGCAGGAATAGTGGGAATAGTAGGAATAGTAGGAATAGTAGTAGTAGTAGTAGTAGTAGTAGTAGTAGTTAGTAGTAGTTAGTAGTAGTTAGTAGTAGTTAGTAGTAGTTAGTAGTAGTTAGTAGTAGTTAGTAGTAGTTAGTAGTA